GGTTCTAATTTTGCAGATGAATTCTAGAAGTAGAGGCTGATTGAATAACATCAACTCTTACCACAGCAGGTAAAACCTACTGATCCTGGAGTATGAAAGGGAAATCAAGACGACACAATGAAGCCACTTGCTCTCTCCATGACCTTCCAAGTTTCCGGCATAGTTATTGAATATTTATCACATCAAAACACTGTACTAGGCATGATGGGGAAATAAACAAGTATATAAAACCTGGCTCCTATCGTTGAGGAGATTACAAGTCGATATTTACATATCTATATGATGTTATGGTATAGTAGTAAACTTGAATCTTGTCACCACCATTTATTAAATTTAGGAATTTGGGGTAATTGTTTAACTTTATCTTTCAAATCAATCTTTCAAGGTTGTTATTAGGACTGGAGATATCATATATTAATAGCCTAGTACATACCAAACCCTCAATAAACGATAACTTTTATTATGTGTTCATACACATAAACTATGCTCACCTTCACTTTCTTAAAATAAAATATAGAATTAGAACAAGTCCATCAGTCTACTCTTAGAATTTTAATGATTATAACTTAGGATTTCACAGAAATATCACCCGCTTATTCCAAATTGGCTTCTACATAAGTAGAGTTCCATAGATACAGACTGGTGTGCAAATGGAGAATGATATTGTGGAGTCTTATGTTAAGATAAAAAATGATTTTCTTAAGGGGCCAGCCCGGTGGCGCAGCGGTTAAGTGCACATGTTGCGCTTCCGTGGCCTGGGGTTCGCCAGTTTGGACCCCGGGTGAGGACATGGCACCGCTTGGCATGCAATGCTGTGGTAGGCATCCCACATATAAAGTAGAGAAGGATGGGCATGGATGTTAGCTCAGGGCCAGTCTTCTTCAGCAAAAAGAGGAGGACTGGCAGCAGTTAACTCAGGGCTAATCTTCCTCAAAATAATAATAATAATAATTTTCTTGAAAAGAATGGCCCCTTTATTGAATTATCATATAAAACATCTGATACTAGGAGAGAAATAAAAAGGATTCAAAGAGAGAAAAATTAGAAATGCGAAACAATTTTCTCATGGAAATACTTCAGCTGATTTTCCCAAAGAAAGTGAATGTAAATAATGAAATAGGTCTCCAGAAGAGAGAGTAAACTGAAAGGAACTGAGCATAATGCTGATATCTCTTAAACAAAACAACCATCATTTGACATGCAATGTAACTTGGTGATTAAGAACATGGATTCTGAAGTCAAATTGCCTGGGTTCAAATCCCACCTCTGGCACTGTAGCATTTTTTGACAAGTTCTTTATTTGTCTATACATCAAAATGGAATGACATTAGTACCTACCTCATCATATTGTTATAATAATTAACTGAGTTATTGTATACAAAGTGCTTAGAACAATGCCTGGCATATAGTAAATCCTAAATAAATGTTATCATCATCATCATCACTATCATCATTAAAATTATAATTCCAGACATGGTGAGCACAATTCTGAGAAGCATCGCAAAAGAGGCAATTTCACAGAGCTGAGAAGAAAGGATTCTTTTGACTGTGGTTAGTTAACTTATTTGGTGAGAATTCTATGCCAATTTGTCCAAAGGCAAAGGTTTGATTTTCCTGTGGGTCTCTTGGCTACATTCCATCACCATAGATTAAGACACTGACCAGCTGTATTCAATGAATTTTCCTGGTTTTAACAAGATGACCGGTGAGAAAATGTAAATTAGTTAATCCAAATTCATGAATAACTTTAGAAAACATGACTCTATAAATACATTCCTATTGATCATAGCTTAGTCATATAGTCTTAATATATTATAAATTCTAGGATTGGAAAAATATTTAAAGATGATCTGGAGCCAAGTCATTAATTTTTGCAGGAAAAAAATAGACTCAGAGACCAAACAATGATAAACAAGATCACATGATTACTTCAAGGCAAAGCTAGAACTCTTAGCCCATGTTTTGTTTTGTTTTGTTTTTCCATTACCCTACATTCATTAAATATAGAATTTCTTTTATTATCTCTGAGAACTTCCTACTTAAAAATTCTATTTCTGTCATTATAGTTTATTATTCCATTATGAAGAACTCAGTCCCAGTAACAGAATGTGAGACTTTGAAGGCCCTGTTGGAAAGGCCTTAGAAGGCCATTTTTGTCAGAAAAATTTGAAGCCAATTTTAAGTATTGAGTGTGTAAGGTAAGGAGTGACATTACCTGACAAACTTTTAAAAGATCTCTTTGCCTTTATAATAGATGGTGGGGAGGAGCAAGGATCAATTAGGAGGTTATTGCAATAACCCAAGTGAGAGATGATTGTGGCTTGGGCCAGGATAACAGCAATGAGAATGGCAATAGGTTCTCAAAGTCTGGATATGTTTCGATGGCAGCACCAATAACATTTCCTTCTACGTTGGATGTGAAGTATGAGAGAAAACGAGAAGTCACAGAGGCAAGGGAATATAAATCTTCATTCAGGAAGTTCTAATTTTTTTTAACTAAATCTTTCTCTGCAATCTACAGCATGACTTATTTATCATCACCTCTATGAAAAGAGGTCCATCTAAATGCCCTCTTGTGAATCTGGCAGCAGCCAGAATCATACCAAGTACTGTGAAACTAAACAATGCCTCCTGACCTCAAAGGAGTTTATCATTTGGTAGATGAAACTCCCTTTAAACAAGAGGGAGATATATTTGACAGCATTACAAATATAAAATATGTGAATATAAGAAACTTGATGTTAAACTAGAACCCTTCTGGACAAGTCTGCTGAAATGAGGGAACCAAGCCCACCAAAGGTCCACTTGGGGTAGAATTCATCCTACAGGAAGAGGGACAACCAAGATCTGATGGGCAGGCTAATTCTAGGCATGGTGTAGTGTTACTACTTGGCTTTGTCTCATGCTCGGCTCCCTATGGACTCTCATCTCTCCCAGGGAAGGGAGAGAGCTGTGAACAAAGAACGAAAAAAGGCTGTGTTCCCAAAATCCTCTAAGATATGAGAGTAAAAGCCAATACTACTCTGATAGAAACTCAGAGAATGTAGCCCAGAAAAGCAAAGAAGCACCAAGTGTAGCATAGCTTTGGCATCTCAAGGGCTCCATTCATCATTGGAAGTAACCATTGGTACAGGGTGCAATGTCCTTAGAAGCTCATGTGTTCATTGTGATGATAGTTCCCTGGGTCATGTCAGTGGAACCCAGCAGAGGTGAGAAAGAGAGGAATAAAACAGGCAGATATCACCTGTAGCTGACCTCTTCTCGAGCAATCACATGTGAGACAGAAATACTTGTATGAGCTCAGCTGCATTATTAGCAGGTAAGCAAGAGCCAGGGACATAATTTCACATGACCATCCTTGTCCAGCTTTTAAGTTATGATGATGAAATGAGTTCTTTACACTCCAGGTATTCACTGCAGCATTTGTATAATTATAATTCATAATTAGACAGTCTGTATACCCCTAAAACTCACATATTTGCCACATCTGTTCAAGATCTCCAGAATCCAGGTAGAGAGTTTCTTCAGGGATATTAAAAAGAATAAATTCTGCAAAACAGACTATTGCTGTTTTGAAGATGGTAAACTTGAGAATATTTTTAAACAAGCACCCTTCATGAAAGCAGTCATTTTACAAAATCAAGTAAAGGACTGAGTATCTGTAGGCCATCTGTCCTGGTGCATAGATTAAGAACCTTCTTACGTATAACACTTCAACCATGCTACTCACATCCTTTTCACTCACAGAGGAAATAATACTCCTCTTTAAATACTCCTTCTTAAAAGACTTGCTTTCTTAAGTGACTCCACAAAACTCCATCATGCTGAAGAAGCCAAAATGACACTTCACGGCAGTGTGCCAATTGTACCTAAATTCAATAGTTTTCTTAATCTTGAATTACACTTTGACCTTGACTCTATACTTCCTTATGTCTAGAGAGTATTTCTTTGTTTCGTTATTCATTCAGTTGTATTTCTATCCTACTTTCTTCTCAAAAGTCTTTGAAGTGTCCTGTGCCTTTAGTTCCAGAAGATGGTGAGATTAGTCTTACTACTATTGTAGTCATTCCCACAAGAGCAATGACAGAAAGGAAAGGTTCAGTGAGGATGTCCACACTCCTACTACTCAGTGTCCTAGAAAAGAGGGTCAGTGGTTGAGGCATTTCAACAAGTGAGATACAATTGTACTCGAGCCAGTAGAGGAGATTGGAGGAGAAAAAGGGATCTGGAAGATGAGTGTGACAGAATCGGACACCAGTGGAGGCTTTCATCCAAGTAAACTCAGTAAGTTCCTTGGAAAAATGTAACAGTTCCTTTATACAATATCAGAAGATGGTAAATTAAACAAGATACTTATTAGGTCAAAAACCCTATGAAAAATACAATGATATGGAAAATCTATTCCCACACAAGTACATATGATCTGGAAAGAAGAGCAGAGATTTTGGAACCCACCACTTGCAGTTCCATAAATCACGTGCTGAAAGCCTGACGATTAGCCATCCCATAAGTCTAAGAGATTATCAAGTTCCAAAGAGCGGCAGCATATTTTCGTTTGTGTTGAGCCAGCCCTTTAAATTTCAAATCTTAATATATATTTCCATCTTCACTGCTGCCCTCCATCCACCAATACCCCGTTAAGATTTCTATGCTTAAGAAGTATGAGACAAGCATTTGTGTGGTTGGGGGTTGGGGTAGTTGGAAGGGATGGGAAGCAAATGAAAAATGTAATTCTCCAGGACGAAACATTCCAGCGACAATTTCTCACCTTTTTCTGAAATAGTCTCCTCATCTTGTCATTGACTGCTCTGCTCTTCTCTATCAAAACAAATGACAATAGCCCCTCTCTCAAAGAGATCCAGAATTAATGTTCAGCCCAGCAGAGCACATCTCACCCCCTTCGGAGTCAGGAAGTCCAGTTTTGTGAGAGCAAGCATGTGTGTGTGTGTGTCTGTGTGTGTATGATGGGGAAGGAGACAGAGAGAGAGAGAGAGATTTACCTTCCGATGAGTGAGAACTCGCCCACCACGCCAAGGCGCCTCATGGCGCTCAGGAGGCCTCGGACGGTCATGCCTTCACAGAAGCAGACCACCACTCTGGCCTTGGGAAGCCGCTCTCGGAGCTTGCGCAGGAGTCGGTCAAAGCTCTTCTCCCCAGCATTGCTGTAGATTTTGTCTGAATGGGCGATGCAGAGGCCTTCCTGGGCAGCCAGCTCTTTGAAAGCATCCATTCCGCTCTCCCCATAATTCCCTGTCCAGAAACAATCAGCAGATGTTCAAGACAACCTGGCAGCAGCAGCACTTAACACAATGGAATAAGGACACATTAGTCACAGGGAATGGAGAGGACAGACTTGCCAAATAATTTGTAAGTAGGGACTGAAGGAAATTCTGGATGGATTAGAGAGAGTCATCAGATGATCAAATCTGTGATAATAATGAGAAACTAACTAGGGCGCCCACAGTGAAACAAGTTTTGAGAAATGAAGGACTGCTGCCCTATTTACAAGCGTGATTAATAATGGCTGTCCCAGGTTTTAGCAATGTGGGAGAGATCAGCATACTGGGGTAGGAGGTCAACCAGCACAATGAGAAGGCCAGGTCATTTGAGGGCTTGCTTCAGCGGGCTGCCTGGTTAAGATGCAGAAGCTGATGGTGATGGCAAGCCCTGCAACACTTCCATCAACAGTGAGTGAGCAAAGCAGATGGAACACCTGGCCAGGCCAGGATAAGCAAACAAAGAACAGCTACAGGGCTTAGTGAAATCCACTAACCTCTGATGAAGTAATGGGATTATGGGAGATTTGGCCTTATCTTTTGATTTTTATTATAATATCATTCTTATAGTAAAATACGCTTTAAAAAATAAGAACTCATAGAAATCAGTGAACTAAATCACATATCCCGTTGTGCCAGTTCCCCACCTCTCTGCTTCACTGATGACGTTAGCCCCCACTTCAGTGCTGTCTATACCACTACTCCTTTCCCTGAGTTTGGGGATTTTGATACCCATGTAGATGATCCAATATCACCTTCGCAGTTTCTCAACCCCCTCCATCCAATGATATTCCTGTCACCCACCTACATCCATGGTCACACTTTTGACCTTGTTATCACAAATGTTTCTAATAACTCTGAATGTGGATGTCAAACATTTCAGTCTCCGTTTATCCTCTCGTACTTTTCAAGCTTGTAAATTCTTTTACCCCCACTCCAGCATTTCTTCAACCTCACAAAAAACTCAAATCCATTCACCTCCCTATTTTTCTTTCCAACCTCCCTCTCATTTGCCTCTTAGCCCAGCTTAGCTCTCGCAGCCTATCCTCATAGTCACTCCCTTGCAAATCCTTTAACTCCCTTGTGTTTTTCTGACAAAATTCTAATGCTAGTTGAAACCAACTATTCACCTGTTCCATGTCCACCCCTGAGCACCTAAGCATGGCTGGAAAAAACTCACTACCTTGATGACTGATTTTATTGAAAATTCATGAGCATACATACCAAAAGGAGAACTCGATAATGCAAGGAAATTATACTACTTCTCCCATGTAAATGAATTTTCCAAGTCTCTAACATGATTATCCTTGCTCTTCTCGCCTCAAATCTCCAAACTACTGACCCCACCTCTGAACACCATCTCAGCTTGGATCTTCATTTCATATTTCAATCAGAACACAGAAAAGAACCAGACAAAAACTAATTCAGCCACACATCACAACGTCTATGAAGCTTTCTTCACTGATACTCATTTTCTCTAACATCCATCCAGTTGCAAATTTGAAGTGTTTCTGCTTCAGGATAGAGCCAATTCCTGCTCATGAATACTAGGTTCCATCACTTTTTGTCTATTCAAGGACATGCTCCTGCAATTGTCCCCTCCTTTTATAAAATCAATTTCGCTCTTCTAATGATGTCAATAAAAAAAATCCTTGGATTCTTTGTCCCACTTGAGTTCCTACCTCATTCACTCCTCCCTCCTGTTCACAGCAATAATAGCTGCCTAGGTTAACGTGTTTGCTTCACCATCTTCCATTTTCTCCTTTTTCATTCATTCTCATAACCTTAGAATCTTCTCTTGACAAGGTCACCAATGATTTCCCTGTTGCCATATTTCATGATGTCTTCTGTGTCTTCGTCTTTGTCAACCACTCATCTGCATTCAACACTTGGCCACACCCTCCTTGAAACATTTGATCCTCTCAGTTTCTGTGACACAATGCTCTCATGGTATCCTCACCATTGACTAACTAGTCCTCAATGTATTTGCTAGACTTTCTTTCCATGCTCAACCTCTAAATATTGTCATGCCAGGCCCCAGTCCTGGGAAACTTTCTCTTCATCCATACTCCCACTCTAGGTACATTCATTCAGTCATATTCCTTCAAACACCATTTGAATATCATGATTGAATCCCAAATACAGATCTTCAGACTGGACTGCCCTTTGGAGCAAAAGATTAGAATGTTCAATTGCCTACCTGACATATCCACTTATAGACAGTTCAAGCTTAATATATCTGAAATAGAATTTTTCCCCCTCTACCTTGCAAATAGGCTCATTCCCGACACCTCCTATTAGGAAATAATACCATTACACACCAAGTTGCTCAATAACAAGATTTAGGAACTGTTTTGGTTTCTACCTTTCTCTCATATTTCCAGATCCATTCCTGTAGATTCTATTTCTAAAATGCTCCTAAACCAATCTCTTTCCTCTGTTTCCATCTCTGCCACCCTAAGCCAAGTGTCTTAGGTCAGGTTCCCTAAAAACGCCTGAGATAGAGATTCTTGTTCAAGCTATTTATTGAGGAGAGGAGCAAGAGAATCAGGGAAGGACAGGAGAGGAATGCTAAGCAGGAATGTCATCTCGGCTAGAGATTAGCTTCAGTCTGACTCCCCAAAGGAACTGCTAGAGCACAAATTGTACCACAGAGTTGGCCCCACCTTTAGACAAGGGGACCCGCTCATCAATCAGTCATTGGCCAAGATCTGTGAGAGGGGAGAGGCTGTGTAGTCTCCCAGGAAGGGGTCAGCTAGAATTTATGAATGCCTTCTTTCAGAGGAGCTTGGTGATTGATGCACAAGCCAGGTATACAGCATCTGAGCAGGCCACTGACAGCATCTTCTACCCCAAGTAACTATCAGTTCTTGCCTAGACAACTGCCCTAGCCTCCTCATTGGTCTCCTTGCTTCCAGTCTTGTTCCCAATGATTCATTCCACACCTAGCAAACAGAGTGATCTGTTAAGGTATGAATCAGATTATATCACTCCTCTGCAGAAAGCTCCAGTTGTTTCCCAACATACTTGGAATGACACCAAGACTCCTTCCCCTGAACTACCAGGCTGTACATGGGCTGAGCCTTCCAATTTCTCCAAACCCATCTCTGCCCACTTCTCCTCCCTCACCTTCTCCAGCCCCATCACCTTATTTCTCCCCCTGGAATACCCTGAACTCACTCATGCCTCTGGATCAGCTGTTTCCATCACCTGAAAAGATGCTCTTCTACAGATGTTCTGTCAATCTTGTCTTAATATAAATATCAGCTCCTCCAAAAAGTCTTTCGTGATCAGTTAGTTTGAAAGACCCTCCCAGTAAATCTTGACCAAGTCCTTTGAATTTATCTTAGTACATATACCTGATATTTTTTCTTGTTTGTTTTTCTCTTCCTCCTAGAATCTGAGCTCCATGAGAACACCTGTTTATGATTTGTTCAATGATGTACCCTTAGTACTTCTAATCGTTCTAGACACTAAATGCACAGTAAAAGTGCATTTGTTATAACAGCCCAACAGAGAAAGGGTCAAAGTTTATAAATAAGCAATTTAAACAAAATAAGTAAAAGTGGGTAACAAGCATGTGAAAAAATCACGGAATTTCATTAATTATCAAGAGCATGCAATTAAAACCAGATACTGTTACTGTTTTTTCATATATTAGGTTGCCAGAATTTCAAAGATGAATAATATTCAGTGTTGGCAAGATACAAATAAATTCACATTTGGTGAAAGCAGTTCAAACTTTTGGTGGACAACTTGGCAGTGTTTTTCAAAATGTTTCAAGATAAATATCACATAAATACAGCAATAGTTAAGTCAAAATAATTTTAAAAGAATGATATTATTCAAAAAAGGACTGAGGACTTAAATCTCAACATCTATACAATTTCCATGGACACTGTAATGAAACCTAAGAGGATTTTCCTATATTTTTGAAAGAAAGCTTTCTTGTTTCTTTTTTCATAAGATTGAATTATCAATTAATGTATTTGTCTTTTAATTTAACCAGCTTTAATGGCCTAATCCTTGTCCAGTTAAGCCCAAATGGAATAATTAACAAGTCACAAAATCCTCAGCTCCATGGACTGTGGAAACGCATCATGGATCAGACAAGAGGGATCGACTGACTATAAGGGAGAAAACTGCAGCTGGCAAGTGAATGCTCACCTGTCTGCAGAAGAGGGTATGAGGAAGGAAGTCAGATGCTGCCTTCTCACAACTAATGCAGATTCGGGAATCTACAAGGTGCATAGACATCACCAGCCAACTCTCTCAGCAAAAGGCACTGCCAATCTGTCAGAAAATGGTCTTGCAAGGGGAATAACTTTACTGCTGAGGAACCCACTCTTGGACTTCAATCACAGAAAACTATTTTATTCCTTTATCAAAATGCATGCAGATTAAATGAACAAGAATGTTCTTCTCATTCAAATAAGAAAAGCCTTATTTTTTAAATCTAGTAAAAGCCTTAGACATATTCTGTCCAAACTCTTCAGGTTATAGACAAGGAAATTGAGGCACAGAGAGGAGAAATGGCTCTCCAATGGGCATGAAGCTTGTTTGCATTAAAACTGAAGCAACTCTACATGACTTGACTCTTGTGTTACTCCTTATTTCTCTTAATAGCAAAAAGCAATTAAATGTGTATGTTTTCATAACCCAAATTAATGTCTTCACAGATCAAATGGTTTCATGAAATATTTGTCCCAACTTCTTTATTCGTATTTTCTTGTTCAAATAGCAATTCTTCGTTATACAAATTGATAGAGAGCTGAGAGTCATGTGTTGGATCATGTTTAAACTGCCCATTTCTCTCACAATGCATAAAAGACCCCTAAATGGTATATAAATTTCCATGAGGGTAGCTCTCAACAAAGGAAGAACAACAATAATAACTTGTATTTTTATAAATCTTTATACTTTAAAACTTGCATTCATAAACATTATCTTATTTGACTCTTGCAACAGCCCTGT